AACCAACATCTCAAACTGAGTTAAAAACCAAGAAGAAAATAGGAAGTGAACCGAGGAACAGAGTTTAGCAAAATAACAAGCTAACAGCTAGCAAGGCTAAGAACAAAGTGTTGCTTTAAACCAGATCAAACCTCAAAAATGTTAAAACATTTCATTTGAACTTTGTTTTACATTGTTGTCTAATTTATATTATACAAATATGTAAGCCTTAAGATCAATCTCAGGCTGCTTCAGGAGGAATAAAACAGTTTTCAAATCTCTTGTGTAAGTTCACTTCCTGTGACAGGAGCAGCCAAAAGATAAACAACATGTTTCAGACTGAAGTTATTTTAGAATGGCAGCAGCTTGTTTTGTTCTTAGTCTTGCTTAAAATGCATTATTTCTAATATTTGGTCAACGTTAAACTCAATTTGTCCAAGCTGAGGTCGTTCAGAGAGCYATCTACAGCAGGTAAGATATCATTTTTTCATAATGCTTCAACAGAACCCCACGTCCAATTGATCTGAGCCATCATTTTGTCTGTAAACATGTATACAGATAATCCATCAATTATTTTATTTCCTCCCTAAGACCTCGACAGTGATGAGATCCTGCTTCCTAAAGAGGAGCCGGTCCCGTCCAGGAGGAGGGCGGTCCGAGGGGGGCAAAGCATGCCGGTTCAAGGGGATCTTCAAGCGAGTGACGATCAGAGCCATCGCAACAGCACGGGTGGAGTGATGCAGGTGTCTGAACGAACCAATCAGAGCCCGGCGGTAAGAGCCAACAGGATGCTGGACATGTATCCGAGCAGAGAGATGCCAGACTGGGACAGTTCGGAGGACCGAAGGTCACCTGCAGGGGACGAGAGCAAACTCACGGATGACGACGGTAAACTCAAATCTTTTTATTCCAAAAGAAACCGGAGTCAATTCAAACATTAAAACAAATCTTCCCACAGAGAGCAGAGACGACACGAGCTCCGAGACCGACCCGCTGAGTAAGGAGACTTTTTAAACCACAGTAAATAATACGTCCCTCACAGTGAAATCCATGTTATTGATCCTGTCTCCTGTTTGAACTCCCATCAGAGCCCAGCAGCCTTTCTGCTCCCGCCAGGAACCGAGCTGCCTGATGCTCTGCKGTTTTCTTCTGCAGCATCTGTCCAAACAACTCATATCTCCTCTCAACGTAGAATAAACTGTTTCCTGTTTCCTCCATTTATCTGCTGTAACWGTCTGTATGAAAGTTATTTTCATGTTTTTCCTCTTAATGACTCAGGAGCCAGYGTCTGTTGACTCACTGGGAGGCAGGTGGTTGCTTTTGGGGGGATTTTCTTTAAAGCTTTAAATACTTTTTTTGTCCTCTGATCGTGTAAGAAGATATAAATAAAGAGGTTTTGAGTGAATTTTGTGTCTTTAATAATGCTTAACAAATTCTATTCATGTGTGTGCTTTGAATGATTTGATCTTAGAGCCAAAACATCTTGTTTTAAAATGTTTAATCAATGATTTATTAAATACAAAAAATATACACATGACAGGACGGGGTAAATGTCACAGAACACTGAAAATACACAACATGTACACAGTTTATCACACAGGTCTGCTGGAGCACAAGCAAATATTTTATTTTGTTTATTGGTSTCATTTCCTAAAATGTCGAAGCTCGCTGTAGACGTCTGACTGGACTCCGTGTAACTCCTTCAAAAAATACACAAGTTCAGTTTTAAAAAAATGTGTCATTTTCTGGAAGAAAAGCAATTTCTTGTGTTTTTTAGAAGTTAAAAGCGGTRAAGTTTTACCTGGTATGGAGATTCGGTGGCTTCTGTTGTGATTTTCTTGGACGCCGATAAAGGCAGACTTCTTGTACCTGCTCATCGAGGGGAGAAGTGATCAGTTTGCTGCTCGTTGACCAAAAAACAAGAACAGGTTAGAAGCACCAGCTCTATATACGACTTTATGTCGACGACGATACGATGTTTCACAAAGTTTGTCGTGATTTCGATTCAAATCAGTTCACAAGACTGCGACCGATAAATCAAACGATGACGATGTGGATCAGTGTTTTAGTTTCGCCTTGATGTATTTGAATCATCGAATCGATCAGTGTGGATGGGTCATTGCAGCCCTGCACTCACTTTCACKAGAATCCCGTTCCCGTCTTCTCCGGTGGCGAGCGGCGAAGCAGAACACCGAGATGGTGATGAAGATGGTCAAGACGATGTCGGCCGCAAAAACGCCCACGACTGAGCTCATGTTGATCAGGTAACAGGAGCTGCAATCTGACGGAGAAAACACGATTTAAATCAAAACTCATTCTGTTCCTGCAAAGTGAAAAGCTGCGGGTCGAGTCGATACCTTCCTGTCCTTCCTCGGAACCTGCGAGACAAAAACATCAAATCAAATCTTTACGTGTTTTTTTCCCCCTCACAAAAAGTGCTCTGCTCCGTAAGTGGACTCACCAAACAACGAGCCCTCGATGCAGAGAGCGTCAGGCATCTTCTGAGTTTCACTTCGGTGATGAAACGAGACTCTGTGGGCTTCACGGGTCYGTTTGATTTCTCTCGACTGCCCGCGCTGAGGTGCGAGCTTAAGAAATAAAGATGCTGCAGTCAGACGCAGGAGGTGGACAAGTGTCCAAGAATTGTTGGGTCCCTGGTGCTGAAGTGTCCTCAGGTTGTTGTTTGACTGTAAAAGAAGGTGGAGCATAAAAAAAGGAGTCCACTGAGATAAAAAGGAAGTGGGGTCTTTTTTTTTTTTATTTATTTTTTGAGTCATAGTCATCTGGGTGCACGCTGGGCTCACATGGAAAGGAACATTTTCCACTTGATCACGTTAAAGTTCAACAAGTCACTCTTTAAAACAAAAATAAAAACAAGAAAACAAAAACGTATTTACCATGCTATAGTAATGGCGGTAAACCCAGGCGCTGCAGAAGGTCAGTTTCGTGACAGCCACAGCTTCTGCTGAACTACCAGAGATGTTATCTGAAAGCAGAGCGTGTGGTTTCTGCGCGGGCGGCTGGCTGGAGTTCACCGCTGTCTGAAGTGAAGACAAACCTTCAACCACAGCGTTTATCTGACACGACGGTGCTCTGTCAGCGAAAGGGAACGACACCAGTTTTCACTTTGATTCGTACGAGTCCTCCAGGTCTGGAGCGAACGTCGGGATCGTTTCGGCTTGCTGATGAAGCGGCACGTTTCAGCATCAGCTGTTTGTTTACACAGAGGCGCAGAACTGTAACAGCCATCTTAAAAAGGAGTTTTTCCTCTCCACTGTCACCAGTTACTCAGGATGGGAGACTGCACTGGTTCAGCACAACCTGCTGGCTTCTGTAGACTGTTTTTATTACATGTGCACATCATGCACACTGCTGGAAATGACTTAATTTACACACCCCCTTAGATCATGAGTCTGACATGACTGCTTCCTTTGTAATTTTTCTGCACAGTATCTCATTTTTAC